AGTTTAAAATGTATGACGCAGGAAATTTTCTTACTTAATGGTATGGAGGAAGGAATAGAAGGAATGAACAAATGCTTGAAATTGACCCAGCACATTTTACATTTAATAAAAGCAATCAGAAAACAATATTTGTACAAAATATGCACTTATATTTGCAAAAATATTGCATTCAGTATCTGTATGTTAAAGTAATCTTATTTTCTGATTAATAATTAAGATACTTAAAAGAACAAATATTAAGATTTTTTGGTACTATTCTGCTATCGGGATCAGCTTCAGAAAGGTATGTAAGTATGTGTTCCTGTATGCACATATATATGTATTTTTTGTACGTGTGTACACACACAAATATACATCTCTGAATCCTGTCCCGATACCTGAATACAATACCAGATAAATGAATGTATTTTTTGTTGACTGTTCCTTTGACTTTTTAAGTGAATGTAGTTCAATGTGTACATGGACAAAGTCAAGGGAGCGTGCAATTCTTTGACTTTGTGCTAGTCTTTGTCTTGTTATTTTGGCTTTGTGTAGTGGTGCTTTTTGCCACTACACAAGTCAAAGAATTGTACAAACTCAGTATCCATTTATCGCCAAAAATCACCAAGGGATTTTTACCAATTTTTGTTATTTGACGCATATACTGTTTTACGAGGCATAACCAATTCTCATTTTTTTAATCTAATCTCTAATAAAATAAGAGAATGTGAGTGGTTGTCTGTTAATTTAAAAAAAGGTTTATGACGTGTAAACAGCATTATTTATGTTATTGATTATTATTTCAGTAATGTCATTTACATTTTTCATGTAATTACATTTTGGTTTTCCTTGCAGTATGGAAATTCTAGATGTTTGAGAATTTAAGTCAATTAATAGTTTTAACTGTTTCGAAATATAAAGCAAAGCTGATATGTAGAAAAAGGCAATCAAAACTATGAGGTGAAAATAAGATTAACTTGTGAGTGAAAAATGGGTAATCATTATTTATTCTCAGAGAATAAATAAACTTAGTAAAACTGCTAAAGAGATGCATTAAATACTTTACCAAAATATATTTACAAAACAATTTGAATATGATAATGAGTATATAAATGAGGAGCCAATCTTATTCGTCATTATATATTGTCACATCAAACAAAACCTGCTTTTTAAGTGTGTATTAAAACAACAACAAAAAGAAAATGTAATTTTCATTCAGTTTATGGATATTTCTTATGTAAATTTTTTTATACATGCTAAATTAGGCAAAAGTTTACAATTGGGTGCCCCTTGTTTATTGGCGAGGCACAGCTTTAGTATTAGTCCTTTTTGGCGAGAAATTTGTTTGGCGACATTTTGGAGCGATAAATGAAAAATTATGATAATCTTAGTAACCCTAAATACTGACCTTCAAACATGCCGCCTTTTCTGTCCACGTAACTTTAACGAATTTGATAGGTATCACAGCTTTGATGGCAGGAGGGATAAATTGTGTGTTTTTCTTAAAGTTACTTTTGTGTTAGGAAAGCACAACATTTAAAATATTTTAAAAAAGATAAATTTGATAGTTAAAACTGATGCTTTTAATATTACATCACATGAGTCTTGACATTTTTTCATATGTCAACTCTGCATATTATAAACTCCATCCCCCAAGAAAAAAAAACACATTTTCAGTAGCATGAAGTAAACTCTTTGTGTTTCCTTTGCTAAGGAGATCAAAATTACCATGGTCTAAAAATACTTTATTTACCTTCATTTCTTAAATTAGAACTATAAGGGATGTGTAATTGCATAAATTCATAGGTTCAAATCAGACCAAAATCAGGTTTTCATTATTGCTTTTATAACATTTTCATAATTTGTCTGAGACTATAAAAAATATAATGTTGCCTTAGATTATGGAATATATTGCTTATAATTTAGAGTTCTCAAATCCTGTAAATCACACAACCTAATAGCTGTATATGAATAACCTTCATTGAGTATCATTACATTTATACTTTTATTACTTGAGTATCATTACTTAATCGACATAACAGTCGACTTTTTATTTTAAATTTTATGCAAATTTTCTACAATTACTTAAACATTTAATCTAACAGAAATCCTGAAATTTTTTGTAATAAAAACTTATAATAAAAGTAAGAGTACAATTTATATATAAAAACTTTGACTACATGGCAAGCACTTAAGATACTGATTTTCAACTTGTCTTTAAATGTTATTATTCATAAAGTTTAGATATATTCGTTGAATTCATGTAGCGCAACTAAACTTTAGGTAGATATTAAGCGAATTATCACTACATCTAATCAAGTAACAAATGAATCATGAGAATGGTGTATAAGATCCTTTCTTAAAATTACTAAATAAAAACAGAAGGCACACTTTGTGCTTACGACTCAGCCAACCACTTGTGCAAGATAACTTATGATAACAATTAAGTTCAAATGTAAAATTTAAATTCAATATAATTTGTAGCCCAAAGGCTGCACAAATCAATTTAATGCAAAGTTGGTTAAAAACTTAACTGGCATGGAATTCAACTATCAGCAATTATAATGCAAGGCTGAAGACTACAAATCTTTTCTTATCTAGCAACCTATTAATGTGGCCTCAAAAGGCAAAACAACACGGTTTGTTTTACAAAATAAAAACTTCATTTGGATTCTATTCTGGTGAGAAAACAGATGGAGGAAATTGAAAGTAAAGAATCCCAAGCAAAAAATAACTCTGGTTACAAAATAAAGGAAACGTTACAATATACTTTGTTCCCTGATTAATTATTCAGTACATGGAAATAGTGTAATGCATTTTTGTTTGCATCACATACAAATTATTTAGTTTATTTAAAATGCTTTCCAAAACTGACAGGATTTTGCAAACATATTGACCATATTTTTCGACCTATAGATGCACAACACTTCTTCTCTTCAGAAGTAAGATTTAAAATTAAGAAATAAGAAAATAGAGAGAATTATGATAGAAAATAAATACATATGCTGGCTAGCAGAAGAAGGATGCCTTCATAAAGTACTTTTAGAGAGAAACTGGCTCAGATTCACATTACATTTACGGAAAACTACTAAAACTCCCATATAGCCAGCCTGAACTACCACTGTTCAGTGGCTATCACTCCACCACTAGTGGATTCCAATGACTGTTCGAATTTTTCACAGAAATCATAATTTACGATGATTGTTGTATTATTACCATTGGTACAAAATTTACTCATGATAATTTAATTTTAGCTTTTAAATTATAATCATAAATTACTTGTAATAAATTGAGGGATTAAAAAATACACACTTCTTAATATTTTTACCATTTACAATATTTAATCATAAAAAATATTTCTAACACTGGTACAAAACTTGCCCATTATAATTGAATTTGATTTCCTTCACTTTGAAATATTTTTTTATTTTCTTTTAATAACAGAATCTAAGAAACTAAAGTAACATATCCTAGTTTGAAATGCATTTATTAACCTTTTGTAAATTTCATTATTCATAAACATAAAAATTAACCTTTGTAAATTTAAAATATTAGCTAAGTACTAATATAATAAAATATAAATATGAACTAACTACTTAAAATATTAATGTTTAATACATTATATTTTGTAATTAAAAATATTAACATTTTGTAAATTTCATTACTCATAACATAATAATTGTCATAAATTCATTTACAGTAGTGTTTCAAGAATTTATCATTACAGTACTAGAAATATTGAAAATTAGAGAAAGACTGTTTATTCTGATTAAGAGCTTATTTTTTAGGATTGTTATTTAGTCTATATCGGGTTTTGTTGACAATCCGCCATTTTTTCCCGATCTTCAAAACCGGGTCTACCTTGGCGACCGAAGTTTGTCGCCAAATAAAAAATCGCCAAAAGGACCAATACTAAAGCTGTTCCGGCGATTCTTTCTTGACGCCAAGATCAGCACCAGGAAGTCACAATTTCAAGAAGAAATCTAGTTATCAAACATATCATATAATGATCCAAAATTTAATTCTAAACAAAAATTCAAACTTCTGTTATCAGATATATTTATGACCTATTTGAGCAGGACTTTATTCATAATGGAACACAATCTATTAATACGTGTGGAAAAGCACAGTATATGAAATAAGTACTTAAAGGAAGTAGTTAGAGTTTTTAGAATGATTTTTGTTAAATACAAGGGTCAATTGTAAGTCTTTAAAAATTTTAATAAAATATATCTTCCTTAATTCTCGCAGAAGGTAAGCTACATGGAAATCAGAAATCAACAGCAATATTCAACTATTGAAATAAAATGCATTTTAACATGGAATACACAAAAGAGAGCATTAATTATAGAGCAACTATGATTTTTGATTAAGAAGATACCTTAAAAAAGGTAAAAATCTCTCATGTTTAAGATAATAGTTCAGAAAAAAAACTCTGTACACAGAAAAGAAATAATGAACAGATTTAATATTAATAATACAATAAACCACAGTTAAGTTTTGTTGGGTTTTTTTTTTTTTTTTTTTTGTTTTTTTTTTTTTTTTTTGTTTTTTTTTTTTTTTTTTTTTTTTTTCGTTGTTTTTTTTTTTTTTTTTTTTTGTTTTTTTTTTTTTTTGTTTTTTTTTTTTTTTTGTTTTTTTTTGTTTTTTTTTTTGTTAAATTTATTATTTCGATAAAAATAAGTTAGAATGATTTATAAAACTTAGAATCTCAATACTTAAATAAAAAGTCTAAAAATTTTAATAAATGTTTAATCCATTAAGTAGAAAAAAATAACAGAAATTCAACTCATAAAATGAAATAAAACACAAAAATAGTATCAAGAGAGCAACTATGCAAGAATGATAAAAGAGGAAAAAAAAAAAAAGAGCTTAAATCTCATTAAAAAACTCTGTAAAAAAAAAAAATATACACACACAAAAAGAAATAAGTCAATTTAAATTAATAATTCAGTTAAAATAATTTTCGTTATTTGCGAAAAAAGACAAAATGTCATCAGTGATTGCAATAAAAAAAAGAAAGTTAACAGAAATGTAGTGCATGCAATATAAAAAAATTCACGAGTTTTTAGCAATCTTCCCCCCCCCAATGAATTTGATTAAACAGTAAATTTAACTGTCTGTTACAGTTTTTGGTATTTTTCTTTTAATTCTACTGAACTGCCTGAATTTTCATTGTGTCACATTCTTAAGTTTTGTTCATGTATAAAAACTTTACTTTTAAATCTTAGAAAAGAAAAGCATGTATTCTATGAGTATTTTTTTAAATTAAAAGTAGCACAAGAATAAATAACAGTTACGAAATTTTTTCTTTATATAACACACAACTCCATATGGAAAACAAATGTTTCTTGCCTTTCTAAAAATGGAACATCAGTGGAATACAAATAAATCCTGAATTTTTAAAATACTGCTGATAGAAGCTAAACAAGTAAAAACTTTTTCAACCATATTAAAAAATACAGTTTGCACTTATTATGTAAGAATAATTAAATTTTGTTGATGGCTACAACATTTGCTGTACTTGGTGATAAAAAAAAAATCTTTCGTTACAGAAGACTTAAGACTGACTAATGGAAGACTGTTGTGTAGTTTCGTGGAAATCAATTTTTGTATACTTATGTCCAAAAGGTAGTGGCTTCTCATGCTCAGTCACACGAAACAGCCTTCTTAAGGCATCATATGCAGCCATTTCTTCAGCAATAGCTAGAGTTTCACCCGGACCTCTACCTAAAAATTCTTTATTAGAATAGAGTCCAACATGATATATGGCTTCAAGGGTATTTCGACCAGATTCAAAAATCAGACGCGATTCACTGGGTTCACAACCATTATTTCGCAGAATAGAATTTAGTAAATTTAGTGGATCTTCTAAGTCCCAAATTTCAAACACATCCTTTGCAATTAATTGAGGGCAAATGAAATCAAGAACAAAGTTTTCAGCTCGCGCCACTCCATCCTCTAAAGCTATGGCTCCAATAATAGCTTTTAAAGTATCAGCTAATGTAGATTTTGAAGGAGGGTATTCTGCACAAAATATTAACTCTGATGTTCCAATGTTAAATGAAATATGGGATAATACTTCATCAGATAAAAGATAATTATGCAAAGCACATAAACCTTCTTCGGGTAAGAACTGAAAGCAATGCCTAAGATATTTTTTGAGGTAATTACTCGTTGTTTCATATCCTAATGAAATAAGAGCAGAGTTCGATTTGATGTCAAGTTGCACGTCTTGCAGAGGCATATCCAGTTTCTTCCGTTTTTCGTTTTCAAGCTGTATATAAGAATCGTGAATAAAAGCACATCTTAAAGTATTTTCTGTTATGTTTTCATGTAAACGTTGGACGAAACCATATAATTCAGCTTCATAATTCCAATTAAACCATTCATTTCTCCGTCGCACACGATCCGGACCGGCAATCTTACGCCTTAATTTCATGCATTTTAAAAACCTCGCATAACCTTTTCCGTACGATCTTTTCTGTTGTATGTTCACCCCAATAACTGATGGTAAAAGGGTATTTTTTATTATAAAGTGATGGTTAACACGGCAAAAAGTTTGACTATTTAACAACACTCTGCAGAACGCCATCTTGTTATTCAAAGTAGTAGTACTTCTCGGTATCAGATTGATTCCCGATGATTGATTAAGAATTAAAGTTACTTTAGACACTTTTAATGTCATAGATTAAATTGGATCTTCATAGATTAAAATATCTTGAATTATCATTATTTATATTATCATTATAAATATTGAAAAATATCCTGAAATTAATTATTTTATGTCTAAAATATGCTAAGTAGTCGTAATTATAAGATCATGATGCTTTTTTTTTTGCATATGTCTTACTCTTTTATACGACTTAAAAAAATTATTATAATGCGCTGTGAAATTTTTTAACTCTCAAGTTAAATTACCTTTTTCCTACCTGTGCTGATTTTGCAAACATACTTAATTCCCCCCTCCCCACGTGCAAAAAGACTTAGCGAGTTCTTTGTGTTCTTTTTCTGTGTTTGTGTGTCTGTCCGTATGAATATTTTGCATTTTTTTCTGAAGTTGTGTGTGAGAGTATGTGGTATTTATAACTTGTGAATATTTTCCGAAATTTACCTCTTTTCCACGTCAAATTTTTCAGTATTTGACCTTTCTATTTAGTGTTGAGATACTGTATTTTTTAATATGGTTGAGATGTTATAAATTTAGTTTCTTTTTAATGAAATCTATATCATTGTTAGTTTATAATTAACCACACAGTAAAAAAATGAGGAATTTTGAAATACAAATTATATTGCATGCACAGTATGAATCTTAAGATTATGTATTTTCTATCATTGCTTTTTTAATTTTCAGAATGAAGTCAGAATTTGTGAATAATACAGAGAAGAAATGTGTGAGCGTTGTTGTCTTAGGAGATTTTGGAAGAAGTCCTCGAATGCAATATCATACTCTGTCGTTATCCAAAAACAATTTTCGGGTAGACGTGGTAGCTTACAAAGGTATTTAAGTTTTTATGAGTTTGACTTTTTCCCATTGTAATTATTTAGTAAATAGTTATCTAACAAATTGAAATTTTATGTTTAGGAGCAGAACCCCATAAAAGAATTATAAATGATCAGAATGTTAGTTTTCATTATATGAAAAATATACCACAATGGATTGAATGTAAGTAAATTATTTTTAATGTATTCTTTCAACAGTGTCGTTAATAACATAACTCATCATAGAATTAATGTAATATTTATTTTTTTAACTAATCATTTTGAACTGAAAGTACTGTTTCCAGTGGTAATTTTAAAAAAATTAAAAAAAAAGAAATCTAAAAACTTTAAGATTTTATATTATACCCAAAGGGCCATTTTTTTAACATTTTGTGTGCTACCTTTATTTATTAATATCATGTTCTTCACACTTAAACCATAAAATTCAGTTCAACAGGAATATCACAAAGGGATTTAAAAAGAACATATCTTTAGAATTTCCAATACAGAGTCTCGCGTGCTGGAGATAAAAATGTTGGTAAAAGTATAGTTTAGGGTACCGCTTGGTGATTTTTGGCGGTACATGGATACCGATTTTGTGCAGTTCTTTGACTCGTTATTTGGGCTTGTGAAGCGGTGATTTTTGCGCCAAAAATCGCCGCTACACAAAGCCAAAATAACAAAACAAACAATTGCACAAACTTGGTATCCATGTACACATCGACTTATTTTTACTTAAAAAAAAAACCCCGAATTGCACAAAAATGGCATTGGGCACTCCTTTGACTTTATCCATGTACACGTCGACCTATTTTTACACTTAAAAAAAAATCCCCGAATTGCACAAAAATGTCATTGCGCAACTTTATCAATGTACGCATCGACCTATTTTCACATTAAAAAAAATCACAGAATTGCACAAACTTGCATTGCGCCCTCTCTTTACTTTGTCCATGTACACAACAATATATTTTCTTTTAAAAAAGTCAAACCAGGTACTCTTTCTGATCGAATGCTTCACATAGTGACCATCTGAACCTCTCTTCCTATAAACTCATTCAAATCCATCTAAACGGTTTTAACACACACCACAAAAACGCTTACAAAACATCCCGTGATTCAAAATTTCTCAGAATCATGCACCCGATTACTCACAATAGGGTTTCCATAACTTTCAACTACTCAGGCTACCATAATTGAAACGACAACTTGGCGATAAATCAAACAACAACTTCGCCATAATACAAGAGGTACCTTAAAGTCTATTCTACCCAAAATGTTTTTTTTCCCGTATAGTGGTGCCATTGCTCACTTTGAAATTTTAGAGTTCGGTAATCAAAAAGTTGTTAAAGTTTTACAAAAGTGATCTAGATAATAAATCAAATTCCAAATTTGGACTTCCAGACACCTGCATTTGAGTGGAGGACTATGTTATTCAGAATTTGATGTCTCATGTTACTGTTGTTTTTTTCAGTGTTACTCATACCTACATTCATGCAGATTGTTCATTATTTAATTTCTTTAAATATAATGCAGGGCTCTAATATTTGGTGGCAACAATGGGAAAAGTGAAACGCTTTTTATAGTGAACAAACACAAAATGCCAAAACGGAATTAATAGCTCTTCTGTGTAAATTGCCCGTTTGGGCTAGTATGATTAAATATGGAACTGAACTTCAGTAAACTGAAACTAAAAGGAGCAGAAGGAAATTTCATTTAGTTGCAAATTTAATTTATTAAGGGTAGTTACCATTAATTTTCTGTTCTGCATTTTATCATTCAGGTTGACTTGAAACTAAAAGGAGCAGAACAAAATTTCAAGTAGTTGAAAATTTAATTAATTAAACCTTTGACGCACGCGATATTATTTTTATAATTTTTTAACTAAAAACTCTAGAAATTGAATATTATGATCCTAGAGACAAATAATATATGAATAAAAAAAAATCTGCTCTTGCCCATTGTTTTGTGGGTTGTGGTCGCACTGTGAAATCACCGCGCGTCTAGGACTTTGAAACTTACCTAGGTAGTAGGAAAAAAAAAACTTACCGTTTTCTGTCGCGTTTCCAATAAATGACGAAATTTACGAATTTTTTAAAACAAATGCATGTAAGAATTGCATAATATACATATTTTTACATTATTTTTACAAACTAAATCGTCAGAAAAACTTTTAAAAATAAACATTATGTAATTTTTATAGTGAAAGTGAAAGTATAAGTACCCTAATAATAAGGACGTTTGGCTTCATGGATTAAAAAAACTCAGTAAAATAAGGATAAAAAAAGAGACTCAGTTTTTTTTTTTTTTTTTTTTTTTTTTTTTTTTTTAAAATTTCAAAGAACAAATATTTTTGTGACACTGTTCAAAGCTGTTTTGTCTCTTTCTACTTGCATACACATTGCATGTTTCGCATAGGTATCTTCAATGATGTTCTTCCTTGTGCTACAAAATGTACACTGATTGATTAAATTTCCCCGGTTTATGTCAGCGTTATTTAGTTTTCTTTTCATCTGGCAACATGACATTTGTGTTTTTTTTATTTAATGAGGGGGAGGGCTTTTGGTTTTTTTGTTTTGGTTTCGGGATCATTCGTTTCCTTCATACTTATTTTATTTCATATTTCGTCTCAAAATATTTAGAAAATATTTTTTATTTAAATAAAATTTTATGCGATTCTATTTTAATTACAGCAAAGTATATTTACAATTAAATTTAAACCACAGGAAATAATTTAAAATTACAATACTAGCTTGGGAAGGGTGTGTTGAGGTCAGAGAAAAGTTTCTGGAAAAAAAAAACCTTTTTACTGTGCAGGTGTGTGTATTGTTTAGTAATAAAATAACTCTGTGATTTCAAAACCCCTTATCTAATAACCCGGGTAAAAATAAACATTCCTATTTGAGAAGCAATCAAACACCATTGTAAACAGCAGTGGTTTCAAGGCATGACCACCAAGTCTCTAGAGCATTGTGACACAATGCTGTAGTGGGGCAGTGGTCATGCCCTGAAACCACAAAGCAAATGCCATACATATAGAGGGTTTTTTATATATGCAGTTTAATTATTGCTATTATTTATTGTTTATGATAGAAATCATGATGTGCGATGAATAACTTTTGAAATTTAAAGTTGTTTATATTAATAAAAGGAAGTTATTTTGTCTCATTGAAAACGAATTTTAAAAGGCATCCGATTTGAAGTAGTAAGACCTAAAACATGTATGATTCTGTAGTCATTTTGTGTTATTTAGAGATCAAAGATCAGTAATAAATTTATTTTCACTCATAAATTTCCGAAGAAAGAGGAGAAAAAATTCGAAAATTGGTGGTTTCAGGCCGCGCGTCAAAGGGTTAAAGAGAAGTTGTCATTACTTCTGTAATCTGCATTTTATCATTCTCTTTTCAAAGTTCTGTTATATACTGTACTAAAAATGTGTTATAATCTAACTAGATGACTGAAACAATTTCTGCTTTTTGATTTTAAGCTGAATAAATTAATTTATAGCATGTTTAAGCTTATTTTCAGAGGGTACACAATTGTTTCATGTAATTTTAATTATGCATCTTTTAGGCTTACCACTTGTTAAAAGTTGTTAAAGCTGCTGAATATTGGCATTTCAACCCATGTTCGAAGGAGGCAAATGGGCTGTTTTTCTTGGTTTCCCATATAGGTGTGGTTTAGTTTACTATGGTGAAGCACACTAGGGCTGTCTGCCTAAGGGGAGGAATACCTTTTTGGAGAACTTTCTAAGGGAAACTGGCTTGTATATTTGTTTGAACATTCACCTGGATTCAAACCGTTGTCGGAAATACTAGTAATCAGCGATTTAACCATTCGGCCGCTGGTGGGTGGTCTTTATATACTTTTCTGAAGGCACCTTTTTCCTTAAACAGATAGCTCTTGTGTGGATTGCCATATTCATGTGGCCTTTCCTTTAGACCAGGGGTTTTCAACCAGGTCAAAATGTACTCAGCCTTTTATTTACCTGCTAAGTGTTTAGTTTATGAATACAAAAAATACTTTTATTCAAATTTTGGTATTTATTAACATTTTCTGTGCATTTTTTTGTTTAATTTATGAAATATATTAAAAAATAGAAATTTAAAGAAATGCGTAATATGTATTTTTCCAAGTTTTGGAAAGGAGGGAAGAAAATGATTATTTAATAATGGTGAAAAAAGAGTGCTGCAAACACTGCTCGTGTGTGATTTGTCATATTCAAATAATTAGTCAATGAAATTAATTGCCCATTTTCTGGTTTGGAAGACATTTGTACAGTCAAAAGTCTTAAATCCGGACTCATCGGGACTTCGGTGATTCCAGATTATCGATTTTTCCGGATTATAGATCATCAGTTTAAATCTGGTAAGATGGCATGCAGAAATTATAAATTAAAAAATATGAAACCGTTAATTTAAAAATAAAGCAATTATGATTAAAAGGGTATCAAAATTTACAAAAAAAAAAAAAAAGGCTTAAATATTTATTTGTTTACTTTTTAAACATTTTCTTTCAACATGCGCATGCGTAAAGCATACATTATGCATAGCGAAATTAGAAAATTGCAACCAGAAAACTATTTGATTGTATTCATGATATTTATATTTATAATGATGAGGAATTTGATTTTAAATCATATCAAAGACGAGACGAGTACATCAAGATGAAATACTACATTTAATAAGGAATTATAAGCCGAATAAATAAAAACATCTGCCCTGAAGAAGATAAGCGATAGTGCTGACAGATCAACTTCCAGTTCATTTGCACGCCGCGACGTTCCCCCCCCCCGCAGAGCAGCGTGAAATTGATAAACAGATTTTGGAAGGCTTAGATAAACAAAGGATATGCCTTTATCCATTTTTGCAGCAATTCCACTTTTTGTTTGATGGACATCGAAACATACTTTCGTTTGTAGATCCTTTGGGAGCTCCCAGCATTGGAAATTCTATTTGACATAATCGAAAGTTCAAGCTTACTTTTATAAAAATTGCTCTTACAGTCTGCAAAAAATAATAAGCCGGATCCAATCGAAGAGATTAAGGAAAAACGCACAATCTGCACATTAACTGAAATAGATAATTAAATAATTTTAGCTTATACCATCCGTAATACATCAAAACGCGCACGCGAAAACATATTCTGCGCTTTTGCACACGCATATGCGCAGTCGTAAAGGTCTTATGCGCACGCGTAAACGCCTATGCGCATGTGTCAACGCGGCGCATTCGCAGAAAGTTTGTAGCTTTGAGGTCCAGGTTATAGATCATTCCGGATTATGGGTGTCCAAATTAACGCCTTTTGACTGTATAATAAAACTTTCAAAAAAGTTATGAATAATAGGTTTTATTGTTATGTGTACCATGCATTTAAGTGCTGTTTAGCTGGTTAGGAATACTTTTGCTATTTGTTAAATGCAGGTAAATTTCAAACACAGATATGCAGGCAGACTGTTCTATCATTTGAAATTAAAGTTTGCAAATAACTTGTTATTGGAGAAATTCATTTGGAAAAAGGACTGGCTGCAGAAAGTAGTAGAGTGCATATTTAAGTATTTTCAGAGGTAGGGAAAAGGCAAAAAGTAGTTTTAATGTGTAGATGAAAATCAAAAATTTAGAGCTTTGCTAAAAAGCTCTCTCTTCCTCCTCCCCCAATTCATGAAGCTGAATTCGCTAAATTTACTGTAATGCTTGAATTGAAATATTTGAGCAAAAAAATTTTTGGGGATATTTGTCACCAAAATTTAAGTCAATTGCAGTGGTTTTAACAAAATATCTTAAAATGTAATATGTTTCGGTTCCCTGAATTAATTTAAAATTTTGCTCATTGTTTCACATCTAATATTTAAATAAGGATAATGTATTGAATATCTAGATATATTTCAATTACAAATTTATGGGATTATTTGATTTTAGTAACAACGTCGAAGAATTCACTCATTATTATTATTTTTTTAAACTAAATTGATTGAATATTTACAAAGGGAAATCACTCATATATTTAATAAGAGCATGTTGTTATTTGGAATAAATAACTAAAATGATCATAGTACAAGAGTATTTTGTTGAACAGTATTATTATTTTGGATATTTTATGATTTAATAATGTTTTCTGTTATACCGTTGGTGATCATAAAATTGAGTTACTAACTCATAGTTTTATGATCATCAAAAAAAAAAAAAAAAAAAAAAAAAAAAAAAAAAAAAAAAAAAAAAAAGTGTGTATACTGCATGGCATGGAGTCAAAAATGCTAAAGCTATAAAATATATCACAAAGATTTTCAAGAAGGATCAGTATGCACTTTGAAGCATTGAAATGATTTTCTGTATTTTTCATGTTTTATCACTTAATAAATAAACGAATTATCACAAAATTTTGATCATTTCTACATCACATAGATCAGAAAATAATCTTCTAAATAAATTTATTCTGAATCTGATATTATTTACAGTTATTTAAAATTTATTAGCTTTCTTTTGATAATTACGTTTTGAAAATATTTAAAATTTAGATATCTTCTGTTCCATTTTATTTTTTCCTGCCCCATTTGTTGATTGTTCTATTATGGAACATGCATATTCAACAATTATTTTTCAACGTGACATTTTAAATTCTCACACCGAAAAGCTAAGAATTTCACATTTAAATGTGAAGAATGACATTCAGACTTTACAGAATGTTTTAAAATATTCACAGGTTGTAAAACCAACCTTTTGCTGTCTTTTAAAACCCGGATATCAAAAAATATTAATGACAACTTTTCTACAATTTTACATTTTTTCAATGTATCAATATCGTATGTTTACATTGCTGCAACAGGTTGTTTTACCAGTAAAGTTATAGAAGGAAATCTTGAGTTGAAGTCATTTTATCCCATCACAAAACAGTGAAATAATCTTCTCCAAAATTCTAATAGCACAATGATCTGCATACTTAGTTGATATCAAGATAGTAAACCTATTGATTTTATGTTCAGAAAGGCAATTTTTATTAATTTTACATGCAGACATAAAGGGACTTAATTTTTTCATTGAATTATTTTAGCAGTTAAAGCAATTTCATTAATATCTTTGCACCCTTTTTTTAGCCAATACTTTATATATTTTCTGGAAAAACTTTTTTTCGTTTCTTATGAAAGTTGGATATATTGTTAATATTAAGTAAGTGGTGAATAAACTCATAGAAAATTTTAACAAAAAACTTTTCTGCACATAATAAAAAATATTTTTCATTTTTACAAATATTGGAACTACTTTTATATGTGCCTCCAAGTTGGCGAGAAACTCCACACCGCCATATTACTACCTAAATTTTTTGTCTACATTTCGAATTTTAAGCCTAAAATGTCTCCAAAAATGCGGTTTTTCACACATGCAAAAACCACGTTTTCAAGACACAAGCTAAAAATCCGAAACAAAATAAAAAATTCAGATAGCAAAAACGTAAAGTTTCTAACCAAAAATATTTGACAAGAATTCATGTACACAGCAATACGTTTTAACTTCAAAAAACATTTACGAATTGCACATTCTAGGCAGCGAAGGAATCTACGAACTACGCACACCTCGCTTCAATAAATTAACATAACAATAAATTCAAAAGAATACCATGTACACAGCATTCTGTTTAAACTTAAACATCTACGAATTGCACAATCTATTCATTGCGCACAAATCAACCAAATTAAACTAAAATACAAACAATTCAAAAAACAACAATAACAACAGAAATTATACTAAAAAACAATGAACATAACATTCTACAAAATAAAAACGGTAAAATAAAATGCACTTGCCATAATACATTCCTGAATAAAATTTCGCCAGTCACACAACATCTCTGAACAAAAGTGCCACGATTTTGCTATATCACATGTCTTTCTGAGATTCAAAATTTTGAAAGTAACGGTAAAAACTTCCTCCAAAGTTAACATACTACACGAAAACCACAATCCAAATCTTAAACTTTGCTGACAGCCACATATTTTACCAGCAACCATTTGACTGCAAATCCACACAAGAACTATCAGAAACGCCCTTCTTCGTTCGAGTTCTCATAGCTCCGCATTTCGGACTCCGTTTTAAAATTCCCACAGAAATTCCAAAAATACACTTCAATCCTCATAAACACACCTGCGAACAAAAGACTCGTTAACAACTCCAACATCATACCTTTAACTACTACTAAATTTACTTTCGAAACAATCTAAAATACATGGCTGAAATCTTGTCACCATGTCTATCATTGCAACATAGGCCATTTCAAAACACGCACGACATGGACCAACGAGCAATTAACCACTCTAGCAAAAGATTTTTCAACGTCAACAGGGTTGCCATATAACACGCAATCATGCCAAAAACTAGCACAGAACACATATTGCCACATTTGTGATATTACGGCGCATATAAGAGTAGAGCCAAAATATTCAATGCAGAATAGTTTATTATTATTATTCAGTAATTTTTTTAGTAAATTATGTTACAAGTGAATCAGATTGGAAAAAATGATACATATATATATGTAAATGTAAGTTTTCATAATACATGCATGCACATATGTATAATTTTATGAAATCTGTTTTTGAAAATTATTCTATGTTTTTAGGCTTAGTATTTTTCATATATATTTTCTTGGGTTTCAGATTCACCAGGACTTTTTCGGTATATTCTAAAGACAGTATGGCAAAGTTTTTTCCTCTTTTGGACCTTAATAAATATCTCTAAAATAAACCATATTTTTCTGCAGGTAAATATTGAAAAGTTACATCAAAATTTATTACTTAATTCTGAAATGTTTCATTAAAATATTGTAATTAAAAGCAAGGAAATAACTTTTAAAAAATATTAAAATGCATAAAACTTGGCTAATTTTTTTTTTAGACAGTCTTAGGAAAAAGTGATGTGAAATTCATTTTAACTGTTTACTTCATTGTGAAGAAAGTATCTACCTGGTAAAATAATGGAGTAGTTTCAAAGCGACAAAACCATAGATCACCAAATACTACCCAAATGGATATGCACATGATTATATAATGTCACAAAAAAGACATCACTGGCCCATGATTTAAAAGATGTTATCATATTACTGAGAGTAAAAGGCCAGTGAACAGGCAACAGAGGAATAATCAGTGATGGTGCCAGCATGTCAGTAGAGCACAGAATTAATATTGTCATCAGTTTGAATAAACCCACATTATAGGACTATTTGAGATCACCAGCAGCCGAGTGTTTTAAGACCACTGAACACCTGCAGTTTGATCTGGGTTCAAATCATGAGTGAACTTTGCATAAGTGTTTTTGTAGTTTTCCTTGCATGCAACATGACTATGAACCTGCTTACCTTAGGAGTTTCTTCACAGAAATGCCATTCTTTTAGGTTCTTGTATAATTTATTATAATCTAATAAATCTTATGGGTCTGTTTGAGGGTGGTTGGTTATTCTGACAAATATCTTGGACATGTACTCCTGTGATGTATATTACAGCTTTTATACATGTATGTGTGGATTGTATATCATTAGGCTCAAGTTCTAGTGTTATGTTTATATATTACAGAATATCAAGATAAACATATTCAATGATGCTTTACTGTTAACCTGAACACAAAAACTGCGAGTAACCTAGAATCTTTGGGTCTTTATTATAATAAGTACACACTTGAAAACTGTCTACTCATGATTGAAAGAGAATGGATGATAGTCATTGCCCTTTACTTCACATATGGGGTGTCTCCAATGGTGTGCTGAACATTTGAGAATGTTTAAAATTTTGTTCTTACTTTTAATTCTGTGTTTTTGAAACTTAGAATTGAAAATTCAAATATATAAAGTTTAACATATCTGAAATGTCATGGGATGATTTGAGGGTTTCTGAAAGTAGGGGGCCTGGGGCATGTGTCTCACTTGCCTCTGTATAAATCAGGCTGTGAAGCTGCCAACTCCAGTATATGTCTGTAAAGGCTGCTTTGATAGATCTCTGATCCCATTTTCTGCTACATACCGCTATTATATTTTTTGGCATGTTAGCAGAGGGCATCATGCTAAATATTATATAATATTAACCTTTTATTACAAACTGTCAGATTCCTGATGTAGTAAAGCACCTGTGGGACACACTGGGTTGTATCTCTCCAGCTCCAATAACTTGCCCAAATACTTGCAAAACGCTGCATAGTTAAGGAGGAATGATTAAGTGTGTTTTGGAATAGTATTAGTATCGTCTTTATTCCATGCTATGTGGAGCGGACCATACATCACCTATCAAGCGAGCAAATCCTGTATTAAACCTTTTATTGGATGTCATTGTTCTACTTTTTTGTTCTCACTGTCTCAGCTTGAGTTGCATATATCATGATGTTTTACTCTCAATCGCCGTGTATTTTATTTTTGGGTATGAACACTGGAATAAAGTTTTAAAGTGTTTTAACATGTTTCTTCCCCCCCCTTTTTAAAATTTTTATTGGCTTAAGAAGTTTTTTAAAATTTATTGTTAGTATTGCTTGGTACTGTATTTTTAACTTTATATTGTATCATATTCATATTGTATCTTGGCATATCTCAAAAATGTACTAGTAGCTTTATCTATTTATTTGTTTTCATATTTTAAATGCCTAATGCTCTGAGTTTTTTTTGGGGGGGGTGGGGGGGGGTGTTTACAAGTACAATTTCATGTAATATATAAAAGTCAGAACCTTTAGACACTAAGAACTGGTAAAAGCACCACATATGAATATGTATAATTAAGTCTAATCTAGTCAGAAATCCAAACCATAAGATTAATGAATATGCAAGCAGCGTTATATAAAAAAATGCACTAATATGTATCATCATTTTCAAGCCTAACTTATGAAATATGAGTTGTTTGCTAATTGTTCAAAATTTTGTACAGATAATTAAGAATAATTATCTGTATAATAATAAGAAGAAGCTGATTCACAAAGCTACACATTACTATAATTTTTTTTTTTTTTTTTTTTAATTTTCAAGCCATTGCACTTATAAGAACATGCCAAAGAACAAATCTTAAAGAAGCTAATAATGGACAAAAATCGGCATGATGCAAATAATTTTGTAGAAATATTGGCTTAAAAGTCAAATAGAACCTTCCACTTCAGCTGTAAGAGCTTTCATTGAAGACATTGAGGTGTGGAAACTCCTGTAACTCAAGAGGAAGGTTTTATTTAACCTATGAAACTGTTCTTACAAATTTGCTAATAGTACACTGATTCTTGTTGCTCATTACAGTCAAAAGTCGTTAATTCGGACACCCATAATCTGGAATGATCTATAATCCGGACCTCAAAGCTAAAATCTTTCTGCGCATGCGCCGCATTGACACATAGGCGTTTACGCGTGCGCGTAAGACCTTTTACCACTGCACATATGCGTGTGGCAAGCGCAGATACGTTTTCGCAGCGCGTTTTATGTATAACGGACGGTATAATCTAAAATTATCTATCTATTTCAGTTAATGTTGATGATTGCGTTGTTCCTTAATCTTCGAATGGATCCGCTTATATTTTTGCAGACTGTAAGAGCAATTTTATAAAAGTAAACTTGAACTTTCGATTATGTGAAATAGAATTTCCGATTCTGGAACTCCCAAAGGATCTACCAAAACGAAAGTATGTTTCGATGTCCATCAAACAAAAGTGGAATTGCTGCAAAAAATGGATAATAAAGATATGAAGAATATGACAAAGAGGTTAGTGAAAACGAAAAATTTCGATTGACAAGTTAGTCGTATCTCGGCACAACAATTAACGGGACTTGAACAGCGGAACTTTGTAACTGAAACATGAAATTGTGTCTGTTTATAGAATTAAAGAGAAAGTATTATCACATAAAACGAAGAAGCAACTTAAAACAACTTACATTGAAAGAAATGTTTAATAAAGTAAACAAATAAATATTAAGCTTTTTTTTTTTTTTTTGTAAATTTTGATACCCTTTAGATTATAATTCTTCTTTATTTCATAAATTAAGATTTCATATTTTTAATTTTAGAATTTCTGCATGCCATCTTACGAGATTTAAACTGATGATCTATAATCCGGAAAAATCGATAATCCGGAATCGCCGAAGTCCCGACGAGTTCGGATTAACGACTTTTGACTGTATTAGTTTCTTTAATCATTTCACTCATTGCTTAAAATATTTTTCACATCAAACTGGCATAGTAAGGCATAGACTTGGAACAGTTTATTATTTATGTTAGAAAATTAAACTATGACGTAAAAGTCATCACTAATAATTTTCCGATTTCTTCTTTATTCAGGTATTCAAAATTCTGATTTGGTGCAGTAACTTTCTGCTTCACCAAAAGCAGGGATTAAACAACTGATAAATTTTTTTTTAAATGATTCTAGATAAGGTAGGAGATGGTGATAGGGGATATTTCTTTTTTCAAGTAGTTTATTAAATGGCTCAGAATATTTATTAAAATATGCAGAAAAACTGCTAATTTATTCCGAAAATTTGAGAGTTGTTAAAAATCATTTTATTCCTTTTTATAGATATACTCTTTATCACCTGAAAAGTTATTGATGATTTCTGCAGTTGCTTAGAACTTTAAACAGCAATAATTAGCTGTGAGTAGCTGTGTCCCCCCATCTTGTATCTGGGCAGTTTTTTTTTTTTTTTTTTTTGCAAACCTTGAACCTTATCCCTGAATTCAGTAGGTTGTCTCAGTTTCTTACATTTAAAATGAAGAGGTCATTTTCAAAAAAAGAGCTTTAATTTCTTCAGCAGTTCTAGGTAAAACATGAACTAGGCTTGTTAAATCAAATACAGATGGGAAAGGAATTTTAATGTCTTTGCCATGTATTTCATGTGGGTTACTGTATTTGTTAAGAATAACACTATTCTTTTTGTGTTTTATTCTTTATGGTTAAATTATTTCAATGAATTGGTTGTGGCTTCAATGGCATTCAATGGCGTACAGGTTCATCATAGATTGAATGCACACAGGTCGATGATAGGTTAATATAAATTTATTTTATCAAAATAAGCACTTCAAAGCTCTGGAATTTTCTGTAGAAATGCTCGTATAGGTGTCAAAGTATCACACAGTACAACTGGTAGTTATGCTTCAAACTACTAAAAACGTTAAACACAGTGCGGTGCAAAACACATCTTAAAGAGAAAGCTAACTCAGATATATCTCAGTTAACGTGAAATGAATAACTCGCACATCAGTAACTAAGCAACTGATAGTATATGCTGTCTCTTTGGCCTTAAATAGTTTTCAACCGCCCGCCGAGATATTTTGGCATTGATATTTTATGACAGTTTAAATTCACGCTGGTGAATTCTGAGCCAAATTTCATGATTAAATTATTGTGTGTAGTCTTTGGCTATTAAGTATTGAAATTTAGTTCTACGTTTGAGATTCTTGCCATAAGTCCACCAGGAGTGCCTTCTGTTCATCTTATTGAATTTGAAATAAAAGGGTCTTCTACACCCTTCTCAAGTTTCTGTGCTTTAATTTTAGACCAAGTGATAAGTCGCTTTTAAAATTTACAAAAGGTTAATTCACATTTACAGTCGTAAAACTTGATAGTACTAAACTAAAAACTCAAATCTATAATCTTTGATTCAAGAACAACTTAATTAACGTAATGTGTATAAATACAGAACACATTTCTCACAGCTTCCATGGATTGAAAAATAGTGAGCCTTCTTTAACTCCCATTTGTGGAGACTAGCATCTTTGCAGCCAATAAACAGTTAGTTCAAATTACTCAAGAGGTCAGTCTCATCTATTGAAAACATTCCGAAGTAAAAGCACAGATTGCTAGATAATCATGCCTTTATTAAGTATAGTGAATCTATTTTAGTTTAATGGCACTTAGTTATCAAAAGAAATTTTGGTTAAAAGATAAAAAAATTACCACCCAAAAGTGTAATAAATCTGATTCGATCTTACTTATTTTTATTCATCTTTTATTACTGTTAATAGATATACTTTGAAACAGGTATTTAATCTTACTAAATCAAATGTATTGGATAAATCTTAAATATTGATTTATAAACATGATTTGCATATTTCTGTACTCTCCATTTTATTCTAGAATCCACCTGCTGTACCAACTCTACCTGTTATTTGTTTTGTTTGTTGGCTTAGAAATTGTTGTCTTGTCATAGATTTTCATAATTATGGTTATACAATATTAGGACTTTCTGCTGGAAAAGAAAGCTTCCTAGTCAAAATTGCAAAATGGTAAGTATCTAAGAAATTGCTTCATGCTATATTAACTTCATAAGTTTATAGATATTTTAAAATGTAAATGTTAGTTATACGAATTAAAACATGCAAATCATTATACATTAAAATTTGCTTGCATTTTTTTACATATAAAGGATAATCATTATATTAGGGCGAGTCAAATAAAAATGAGCCAACCCCTCCTCAGCAAGAATGGTTTGGTCCATCATCTGCGGCGCATGCGCGTAGCACAGAGACAGCCTTCATTTACGAAAGTGGTGCGAAAGTGTGAGGTTAAAGTTCTTTAAGGTGCTTTTACACGGAGTTGAAGACGGTAGCGTGACATAATGGACGCTGCAAAAGAGGAACAGCGTGGTGTGGTCAGGTTTTTGACAGCTGAAGGTGTTTCCAACATGAAATTAGTCGCTGTATGACTGCTGTGTACGGTGAACATTGCATCGCATTGGCCACTGTTGAATTCACCACCCCCGAAGAAAGCAAAGGCTGTCATTTCCTCGGGAAAGGTGCTATTGACTTTTTTTTTCGATCGTCAGGGGCCATTACTGATTGAATTTGCTAAACGTGGAGAGACTATCAATAGTTCGCGATATTGTGCAATGCTGGATCGGCTGCGTGTTGCAATCAAGAACAAACGACCTGGAAGATTGACGAATGGTGTGATCTTGCTACACGACAATGCTCGTCCCCACGTCGCTGATGTGGTTAAGACACAACTGGCAAAGTTCAAGTGGGACACGCTGCAACATCCTCCATACAGCCCAGATTCGTCACCATGCGACTTTCACATTTTCGGGAAACAAAAAATATCTCAAGGGTACCAGATTCGTGTCGAACGCCGCCGTGAACGAGTCGGTTACAGACTTTTTGAATCGACAGCCCAAGGAGTTTTATGAGACGGGGATCACCCGGCTCATTTGTCAATGGGATAAATGTCTCAATGTTCGTGGAGACTACCTTTAAATAAAGTACTCTGTTTGTCATATATTCGCATAGGCTCACTTTCATTTGACTCGCCCTTATAGAATAGGAGAATTGTGAAAGCACACACACACATACAGTGGCTCCCAAAAGTGTTCGTACACTTATGATTTTTCATTGAAATAGAGCTCTATCCATTAATTAAAAGTAAACATTCTGAATGAGATTTTAGTAATAAGATCTATAATCTATTCGTAACAAAATTACATGGAATATTTTTAAAATATAGCAAAACTTTTTTTTAAGAAATTAATAATCAAGAAATGACAAACATTTTATCTCACAAAAGTCTTCGTACACTGAAATATTTTTGGATAAAATCAAAATTAGAATTATCGTTTGCCGATTTTTAAAATTTTTGCATTGTAGTGGCATTTAAAAAATCGTTTGCTTTAATTTTTTATTGTTTACTTCATAATATTCTATTTATTATTGAAAAATGGGTTGCAGTCGCAAAAAAATTACAAACAGCGTTCGAAAATTTATAATTTTTCACCATAGTACTGGTAAATCAATTCGAAATATCGCTAAATTAGTTAATTTATCCCATTCTACAGTGCAGTATGTGATAAAACGCTTTAAAGAAGAAAATTGGATTGAAACAAGGTAAGAAAAGGTTGACCGGTTAACTAAACATGTTGAGAACATGAAGTTAACTAAACATGATGAGAGATTTATTATTATAAAATTTGTGAAAACCCGCATTTGAGTGCTGTAAAAGTTTCTGCAGAATTTAATGCAATCTACTTCAATTTCACCTGCAACTGTTTGACGAATTCTCAGAGACATCTTTTGTTAGTGAGAAAAACAGAAAGTGATCCATACAGCTCCCAACGTTTGCCTTTGGTGCCTCTATAATTGTCCACAGGTTTTGAAAACCCCACTTCAGTCGCCAGATTTTAACCCATAGAACACATTTGGAAAGAACTGGAGGTTAGAGTACGAAAACACGACATCAAAACGAAAAGCACACTCAAAACACTCATGATGGAAGAATGGATGAACATTAATAGAGAAATTAAAAAAAAAAAAAAAAACTAGTAAAATCTATTCCCAGACGTTTAAAAGCTGTTGTGGATGCTAAAGGATATCCTACTAAATATTAACTTAACGATAAATGAAAATATTTACTAATATGTCAAGATTTTTTTTGGATACAAAGATTTTATATAGTAAAAAAAAGTATATAAGATAAATATATTATATAGTAAAAAAAGTATATAGATATTATAGTAAGAAAGTTCAAAGATTTTTTGAGATAAAATGTTTCTCTTTTTTTTATTATTAATTTCTTAAAAATAAAGTTTCGCTATGTTTTAAAAATATTTCATGTAATTTTGTTACGAATAGATTATAGATCTTACTATTAAAATCTCATTCAGAAAGTTTACTTTTAATTAGTGGATAGAGCCCTATTTCAATGAAAATCATAAGTGTACGAAAACTTTTGGGAGCCACTGTATGTATATATATACATACAGTACCCAAAGCCTGAGATCCCGGACTCATCGGCACTTTGGTGATCCTAGATTTGGGATTTTACCAGATATTAGATCATCAGTTTCAATCTAGTAAGATGGCATGTAGAAATTATAAAATTTAATTATGTGTTTGATGAATATTTGTGCTTTTGTAAATAAGTACATTATTTAATAGTAATGAGGATGTTAATTTCACATGTGCAAAATGAAGTTAAAATTTTTGCTTTAAAATCTTTTTAATTTATGAATGTAGATAGCTGAAATTCTTAAAATAACAAAGAATTTAATACAGTACAAAGTCCGTAATCCGGACTCGTTGGGACTTCGGCGATTCCGGATTATAGATCATCAATTTAAATCTGGGAAGATGGCATACAGAAATTATACAATTAAAAATATGAAACCATAATTTATGAAATAAAGAGCAATTATGATCTAAAGGGTGTCAAAATTTAAAAAAAAAAAAAAAAAAAAAAAAAAAAGCATAATATTTATTTGTTTACTTTAGTAAACATTTCTTTCAATGTAAGTTGTTTAAGTTGCTTCGCTTTTTGTACTAATACTTTCTCTTTAATTCTTTCTTCTATAAACGGACATAATTTCTTGTTCAGTTACAAAGTTCCACTGTTCAAATCCTGTAATTGCTGTGTCGAGAATACCGACTAATTTGTCAATCGAAATTTTTGCGTTTTCAATAAGCTCTCTGCCATTTTCTTCACTATCGGAAGCGGACATGTGGAAATGCTTTACTGGCTTTATGCGCATGCGTAAGTTTGTGGTTTGTGGCTTTGAGGTCCGGATTATAGATCATTCCGGATAATGGACATCCGGATTACGGACTTTGTACTGTATTACCCATTCCTTTTATCTACTTTTAGTTTTAGCAATATATGAAGTAATGCTCACAGTGCCAAAACTAAAAGTATACATAGAAAGAATTATTTTGTGTATATACTTTTAGTTTCTAGAGGAATAATTCTAGAGTTATTTTTGTATGAAGATATTGTTAAAATACTTGTAATTTTAGATTTATTTAGCATTCATAATATAGATAAATAATCTAATTTAGTTCATTACTTGTTGTCTTTTGTGCTATGTGTCATAACCGTAATTTTAAAGTTGCTTCTTAAAAAAGATTAGTTATTAAATTTTATTTTATGCAGAATTTCTTTATGCTGTGAATGGAATCAATGATCCAGTTTATTTGTATATAATTTGATTTTAGGATCTTAACCCTTTCAAGACAAAGTTCCATCGGAACGAATGGGAGTCAAAATGAATTTTCCAATGAGATGAGGATTTTTCATTGCTAAGTCTTATTGTAGAGGGGGAAAACAAATAAATAATAATAAAAAATCTCACAATTTACTTAAGCTATCATATACATTAAAATGAGCATTTAACAATCTTTTTCCTTTACTGTACATGAAAATATGTAAAACAAATTTTTGAGAAATAATTTTTAGAAGCACTCTTCAAATTATTCTGAAGCTTTAATTGACAAAATATATTGATAAGCTTTAAAATTAATTAAAAAAAATGCAAGAAAGACTATTTACAAGAAGCAGTAACAAAATCTTTCATGGGAAGTAGAAGGCTGACATTCATTGAGCTCAGTCTCTGATAAAATGTCTGTATGAAAACAGGGTTGCCACGCTACCTGGAAAACCGGGAAAAGTCAGGGAATTCGAAAATTGACCAAAATATTCAGGGAAAAGTCAGGGAATTTAAGTATTTTTGTCAAAATCTGGAAAAGTCAGGGAAGTTCATACAACGATCCCGCCAAAAAAAGCGATTTTTGCGCCGACGTCGGAAGAGGTAACTTTTTTGGCGAATTATGTATCACGTGAGTGTCATTCGGGTAGCTGGCATAGAGCCAATTTTCGCCAGCTCCAATTTGATTGTCTTTTAGAAAGGCAAAGCAACTTTCCCGCAACTTTTGGTTTCCAGTATTCTCGAGAATCGCATGTGCAGTGCATGAACTAAAGAAAGTACCTGTTCTCGTATAAAACAAAATGGGTTTAATCCTAGTATACGGTACTATGGAGGTTAGAATCAAAGAATATGTATTGTAAAGAAGGAAAACCTCTCTGCAACAGACGTGGCTGTGGCTCCGTTCCATCATAGAGGGAAACAGCTGTGCATGTCTGATATATCTGTCGCCAAAGCTCGAAACCGGTGTCGAAGTTCGAAGGTCACGTTATCAAGAGTTCATAAAATGAATATCGTTTAAAATTTCTTTAACCACTTGCGCTAAAAAGACGTGCCACGCACGTCAAGATGCTTTTGTCTCAAACCGCGAGCGACGTGAACACCACGTCGATAAGCATTTATCGCAAAAATGAAAATAACGTGGTGCACATGTCGCCTAACAACGAGATTGTTTATTTCTCGAGTTACAGCTCTGGATTGCACTCGCAGATGCGGAGCGGCGTAAATGAGACACTTTACCGCTTGTTATATTGTAGCGCACGGCACCGCAACCGTGAAGTTTAGTCTTAGCGCAAGTGGTTAAACTCTAAAGGAAAAGAAATATTTTTTGGCGCAAGTAAATTAATTCATGGATTAGTTATTTTCAGAGAAAAAAAAAAAAAAAAAAAAAAAAAACTACGAAAATCCGTTTTTAAAATTATTGCGAAAAATCCAAGAAGAAACGTCCTTTGATAAACGTTTCTTCTTGGATTTTTCGCAATAATTTAAAAACGGATTTTCGTAGTTTTCTTTTTGTCAAAGAGCGTTTCTTCTTAAACACGTTTCTCAATTTCCTGTACACATCGCGGAGAGGGAAATTCTGACCCGCCAGGTTCCGTCGCCAAATCCCTTGGCAAATTTTCCCTCCGCATTCTAGCGGCGTAATAATAGCATTTTACTTGTATGGAACCTTTTCTTCTTTACATAGACGTTCTTTGGTTAGAATAATAATGGGATTTGGCGACATCTTGATGCGCAGTAAACGGGTCATTTTGGTCTTGGCGACAATTTTCAAAATCGTGCCAAAGCCTTACCGTATACTAGAATTTTACCGCAAAATCTTTTTTAACCCTTTTTTTTTTTTTTTCTTTTTAATAAATACCTTGCCATTTTGCAGTAAAATAAAAAAAATAGTAATCAGTCATCTAGGCTAGCCATGTAATATAACTATATTCGCTAAAATATAGATGATTATTCTAATTCAATTTTTAAGTAATTATTTTTATGTTATTCATATAATTTAATGTTGCTTCTTCCCTCTAAATTTATTTATTATTAGTAAATATATTTCCAAATTTCAGGAGGAAATTTTCTCTGGCATAATCCTGAAATTAATTATAGCAGTATGATGACATACCATCACGAAATTTAATGCACATATTTTTTCCTTATGTATGCTACGAAATAAATATAAAATACCTCAATTTATTAAAATAGATTTCTTTCTTCGTTTACCTGCAGAATGCCTGCAAAAAAAAAGCCTTATTTTATTCCAGATTGGGAAGATTCTAATCTCAATCTTCAGTGGAGAGAAACACAAAAACTATTATAATTATATTTGTGTTTTCAAGTGTTAAGGTTTTAAGAACATACCTCACGCAAATTAAATTTACCTAAAATCTAACCTAACTATTTAGCATTGCGTTGTGATTTATAAGGACCGGATTAGCCTCGTGTTGAACTGGTGATGATCATGAGTAATAATTAAATAAAACATACATTTGTTATCCAATATATATATCTTAAATTTTATTAAGTTTCTTAAGTGGAAAACTAAACAAAATTATCAAACAAAGTATACCAAGAATAATTAAGAATAAATGTCCTCTGGGATTTATTGAATAATTAAGTGAGTTTGCTACACAATACAAGTAATACCATAATTAATTTACCTCTTAGCACAGCCAACGTACATTACGCGGATAGACTGGAATTTTCTTGAAACACACCTGGAAAACCTGGAAAAGTCAGGGAATTTCATTCTCCTGTTTGAGTGGCAACCCTGTGAAAATCACTAGAAATATCGCTCTGTAACTCTTTAGATAATTAATCATCATTCTCATCCATGCCACTAATTGACTTATTTAACATGTGAGTATATTCTTCTTCTGATAAAGCTGTGATCTGCTTTCTCACCATAATAAACTGAAGTTAAGGCTTTTCAAAATAAAAAGGGAAGTACCTAAAATATAAGAGATGAAGGCAAACTGCACACAGTAACCCTCAGCAAAAAAAAAAAAAAAAAAAAAAAAAAAAAAAGATTTGAATATTTATATCACATAACGAGTTAAAGAGACCAGCTCTGTTTGTTTACATAACGCTTTGCCTCCTTCCCTGTAATAGCTGACATCGAACTTATGCAGAATGTGATCTTACTGAAGGTCAGGATCCTAAAACTATATTCAGTTCAAAAGTAATGGACACGGGATGCCATCTAGTCGTCTTTAAAACATGTTTCAGCTTTAAATGCATGTATCATCGCCTGTCCCTTGCGTTAGTTCTCTAGTGATGCATGGGTGGGGTGCGCGGCTGTGAGAGAAAATTCATAGGGAATACATATATGGAACGCCCGACCGGAAAGAGTTAATACAGATATTACAGGATGTCCATAAAAGAATGTCCCAAGTTTAAAGTTTAATTTAGTCTGTTTACAACAAATCATGCATCAAATTGAAGGCAAACTAACCTAGTTTTTCTCACATATGTTTGATATGTACACCTTTAGTTATATAGCTCACATCCAACCTATAGTCCAATTCTTTCCACACTTTGGTTAACAAGTCTGGAGTAATAAAAGCAATAGCTTCTTCACTTCTGTGTGTCAACTCTTGCAAAGCATTAGGTAGCAGTGGAATATAGACACGATCTTTTATAAAGCCCCAAAGAACTTGCCACTGAACATCCCATGATCAAGAAAATTATCTTCCCACCCTAACACTTCACTTGCAAAATTAAAATGTATACCATAGTCATCTGACTTTAAAGCATATACCAAAAGTAACTGGTATGGAAACATGTGTAAACGTTTTCTTAAAACCCCTCCAAACTGTTGTCTTTGGTAACTGAAGTTCAAGACTCGATTTCCAACAGATTTCTTTGGACTACAAAAGTAAGATGTTCTGACATAGTCCATATCCTCTACAGTCAGTCCTCTGCATTCTACTTTTGGCCATCCTGTGCTTTTCCCTTTACAAACACTTCCAGTCATTATGAATTGCCTATACCATTGGTAGATGTTTTTGTCACATGGGGGGGGGCACAATTAAAGTTTGAACAAAACTTATGTTGAAATGAAGATTCAATCTTAGCAAATTTCAGAATACATAACACTTTACAATTAGGAGTCGCCATTTTGCTTAGAGGGCACTCACTGCCAGCAAGAAAACAACAAAGCAGTCCTCACACATGTGCCTATCTAAAACTGTTATTCTTTATTTACTCTTTTATTATCATTCTTTTATTGTGACCTTGAACCAACACAATAATGCTTACAGTTGATACTATTAAAATGTTTAATTGGACATTCTTTTATGAACATACTATAGAATAGTATGTAATATTTCAAATTCCGAAAGGTTCAGAGGATGAAAACATTTTTAATTTTCAGCACAATATGCAGTTCACAGATCTGGAGTTAAAATATTTGTGGAATCAAAGTTGACCTTTCAGTATATTGGCTTCTTTAACTTATGCCTGGAATTAAGTCACCAAATCAGACTGCTAAACTTGTTCTAGAATGAGATGATCAACATTTAAAAAATGGAGCTTATATGGCAGTTAAATGCAACTTATTATTGTTAAGGGTTTTTATACAGCAAAAGGTCCAGTTAGTAAAATATTCATTATGCTTAACAAGTTAAGTACAAAATATTCTAAGGCTTTGCATGCTAGATTGTACAGGCTTTATCAAAAAGTAGTTTGATGGGGAAACACTACCATTAATCACCAACTAAATAACTTTTGATTACTAGTTCCTTTTTAAATGTGACTTAAATCTGCTCAAAATGACTTCATTTGGGCACTAAAAAATAATCTGAATCAATAACTTTATATTCAGATATCTTCACAAATTTTTGTATGTGAAGATTTGGAATTTTTTATATTTAATTTGTTAAGGAGCTTTTCTGATTAAACTCCTTGATCTGCAAGGACCACATAAAAAGTTAGTTAATATTTGCAGATACTTCCCTTTCTGTGTTCTGAAAACTGTTTTTATGAAATTCTTTACTTCATTCTGGAAATCTTTATAACTGGAACTGCATTTTAGGATTCAATATTGAATAAAATAAAACTCATAAATTTCCATTTTAAATATCTTATAAAAAATTGTACAGTATTTTGTAATTGACAGAAGGTTCTATTGACCATCAGCTTGGAAACTATGAATTAATATATTTGTGCCTAACCTATTCACAGTGCTACTTAATGAGACATTTGTGACAGTAAGTCAGCATGAATGAACTTCCCTTTGAAATTCTTGAAAGTGATTTCATTTATATGTGGTAGATAAATCAACATTGATTAAAATGTAAAAAAGATTTTTTTCAGAGTTTAACACTCTCAAACCTTGAAAAATTCTTCATGCTTATTTTTCTGTCATAGATTTTGTGTGGATATAAAGTTATTTATGGAAGAGGCTTTCCTCGTAGAGTATCTGCAACATAAGGGTTATGAAAGGGTATTTTGAAAGTTGCAATAAATGACTTTCATCCTTATGCAATGAGCCACCATATTAATATGAAATAATTTTTTATACCTCCAAATGGGGTATTACTTTTATAGGGGCTATAATTACAAGCTAAATGCTTCTTAGAAACTTTGGGTATGAAGAGGATTAAGAACCATTGCTTATAATATCTTTGATTTTGTAATTATATATATATATTTGTAATTATATAAATTTAAACAAATTTAAATTTAATTTTTAACAACACGTATAAAAGTGAAAAAAGCAAATTTAAATCCTAAAAAAAAGGAAAAAAAAAAAACCAAAATAATTTTTAAAAAAATGTGCAAACATATAAAAGATTTAATACTCGAACTAATCTACAATATCATTTAAATTCAGAATTAAATGATATTGTAGATTAGTTTGAGTATTAAATCTTTTATATGTTTGCACATTTTTTTTAAAATTATTTATTTATTTTTTTTCCTTTTTTAGGATTTAAATTTGCTTTTTTACTTTTATACGTATTTGTTAAAAATTAAATTTAAATTTGTTTAAATTTAAATTTCATTCCTTGCAGCAATAGCGCAAAGAATATTTAATTAAATTTGTATGTAAATTTAATTTTTTAATTAAATTCAATTTATTCTTATGAAACAATTTTGTAATTATATACATATACATATATTTGTAATTATATACATATATATACTTTTCATATAATTTATAAATGCATTTAAATTAAGTAGAATTATGTCTAGAAGAATCTTTATATAGCTAAAAGTTTAAAAAAAATGTGTTTAAAAGAATTTTGTTATTATTAACAGGTGTGAGAGATATTTCAGCCTTAAAGCATGCCGAAGTATATGTGTGACCAAAGCCATGAAGGAAGATTTGATGCAAAATTGGAATGTGCGGTAATTATTTTTTGTTTACCAAATATTGTTTTTAATGCATCTTTCAAATATTCAGAAGACATGTTTTGTAACTGACATTCCTAAATACACGCAGTATTGTAAATGGAATTATTGAATAATGTAATTCTTTATTTTATAGTTGTTAGTATTTATATTTACAAATTTTTATAACTATGGCTTGTCTGGGTACTTAACTGTTATCCCATCAACCCTGAAACTTTTACCAGGCAGTGTGATCTAGCATCAATTATGGGCAAATGTGGCTAACAACACATATGCACTTTCATTTGATGTGAGAACGGCTGATTCTTGATAAGCCATCTCTTGTTTTTGTGAACAAGGGTATAAAGTAACTGTTATTGTTGTATATTTCCCCATAAATTTTGAGAAAAGTGATTAAATTTTGGACCTGCCTTCAATAAAGTATGTGTGAAGTGTATATAGCCTTCAATAAAGTATGTGTATTGTTTGTGGGATCTTACCATAAAAAAAGTGTATTTATGGACATGTTTTTGGTCCTGAATGTGGCTGACAAAACAATGGAAGATTGGAAGGATTACCTGCTGGAAGTGTTTACTGATAACTTTCCAAACAGAGCTTCTGGTAAAATTGGTAAAATCTAACATTGGTAAACTATTCTGGTAAAATCAAACAAAATAGTAGTAGAAATCATCGAAAGCCCTTTTATAAAGTGCAGAAACAAAACGTGTCAAATACTGAGTGATTATTAGATAAAGAAGTATAAGTTCCTTCAGAATTCTACAGAAATGATCGGAGCAGAATCTCCACTAATTTTCATTACTTGGGATAGCTAAATTTCTTGGTCGACAGAATAATACATAAACACCCTTGTCTATGATGACACTGGTTTCTTGAGAAACTGAGTACAATTCCTTTCGCTGTCATCATCATATCAGTACCAAATATAAGTAGCATTAATCATTTGTTCTTTCCTACCAGTATTCATAAACAACAGAATTAAATCTAATAGTATTCTTTATACCAGGGTTTCTGAACTTTTTTCAGTCGCAACCCCTTTTTATCACTGAGATTTTTTCGCAACACCCAGGACCCCGTAAAAAAATTTTGTGGGACCAAATAAGTGTTGCGCAAATCCGACACACACGTTAGTGAAACTGTCAATTTTTTTACTTGTACTGTGATATACTATTGCAGTTTTAGGCATTAACTTTAATTTCTAATTTTAGACATAGAGCAACGTGAAAATTTTAAATAAGTAACAGACGAAATGAGAGCATCATGTGCAAAGCAAGGAAAATGAACGTTTATATTATAAAAAGAATGCGTCGAAACTTTTTCTTTGTCTGTATTGTCTTATCTTTATCTATTTTCAGATAAATTGTGTAAAAATATTTGGCAATTGTAAAATTATTATAATAAGAAATATCAAAACTGCTAAAATTTTTGGTGCCCTCTGCTGCAGGTCCCGTGACCCCATTAGGTGTCGCGACCTACAGTTTAAGAAACCCTGCTCTGTACTGCAAGATTGGGTAAGAAAGAAATCATTCAGCTTCTGTTGATGTCAAACATGAAAAAGCATTGTTGTGTTTATGCGACATGTGCGACAGTGCATTGTAATGTAACCATTTGTGACTGTACATTGTAATTACTTTTCTGAAGCTTCCTGTGCAAAAATTATTTGTAAAATGTATAATAAATATTGATCATTAGTGTGTATTATGTAGAAAACAACTGATTGATATATATGTTTAAAAAATTAATAATTGAGTTTTGGAGAAATTTGGTGTTTAATGTAGATTGTTCATGTCATTTGGTCGTAATCTATTTCTTGGGACATTGTGTTGCTGTATAGCTGATAATGAAGCAGATTACAAATAATGAACATTTAACTAAAGATCTGTTTTTATTTCTATTTTTTAATTCATATTTATTCCAGTAGTCAAAATAATATATAATATCCACAAAGAAAGACATAAATATATGAGGTGAAATTTTAACAGTTGTCATAAGTTCTATTGCTATAAACATATTATGAATTATTTGCTTTTTTAATTTTGCCAAATTTGCAAATACAGTCAAAAGTCGTTAATTCGGACACCCATAATCCGGATCTCAAAGCTAAAAACTTTCTGCGCATGCGCCGCGTTGGCACACGCGCACAGGCGTTTTGCGCGTGCGCGTAAGACCTTGACTACTGCACATATGCGTTTGTGCAAGTGCAGAATACGTTTTCGCCTGCGCATTTAATGTATAACGCGCAGGCGAAAAGGTGTAAGCTAAAATTATCTAATTATCTATTTCAGTTAATGTTAATGATTGCGTTGTTCCTTAATCTTCAAATTGGATCCCGCTTATTATTTTTTGCAGACTGTAAGAGCAATTTTATAAAGTAAACTTGAACTTTCGATTATGTCAAATAGAATTTCCATGCTGGAACTTCCAAAGGATCTACAAAACGAAAGTATGTTTCGATGTCCAACAAACAAAAAGTGGAATTACTGCAAAAAAATGGATAAAGACATGAAGGATGTGACAGAGAGGTTAGTGAAACGAAAAATTTCGATTGACAAGTTAGTCGGTATTCTCGGCACAGCAAAACGAGACTTGAACAGCGGAACTTTGTAACTGAACAAGAAATTATGTCTTTTTATAGAATTAAAGAGAAAGTATTATCAATAAAATTAAGCAACTTAAACAACTTACATTGAGAGAAATGTTTAATAAAGTAAACGAATAAAATTAAGCTTTTTTTTTTTTTTTTTTGTAATTTTGATACCGTTTAGATCATAATTGTTCTTTATTTCATAAATTACGGTTTCATATTTTTAATTTTAGAATTTCTGCATGCCATCTTACGAGATTTAAACTGATGATCTATAATCCGGAAAAATCGATAATCCGGAATCGCCGAACTCCCGACGAGTCCGGATTAACGACTTTTGACTGTACTTAGTACCCACGAATAATTTACTTTTTTTTTTAAATTTAATTTCTATGCTTCTCTCATTTCTCTTCAAAGAAATATGAAGATAGTTATAGATAAATTTTTGTAAATGATTGAAAGTGCATGCAGTTTATAAAGTGCAAGCATAAAATGTTTTGCTTTTATTAGAAGTGCATTACTAGCCACCAAAGTTACCTCTAAGCTGCCTGGGTGTGTGGTCGTGCACTAATTTTTTGAAAGTTGCACAGCTGTTTGTGTAATCTGTGCACAGTGGGCTTGTTCACCATTTTTTTTATTTCATTTTATAAAAGAATTGCATTTAAAAATGGCAAAAATCCAAATTTCACACAAAAAAAGTAAAATTTAGAGGGTCAAAAAAATTTTTGAAATCAACCTTTGACAAAAATTTGATTTCAAACACATGCAGAAGACCCCACTTGTACACTTTTACATACATTTTGAACATTTTTCTTCCCATATACTTTTGTACTTCTGCAGTCAGTGAAAAAATTAGAGGGAACATTGCGATCCTTTTTGTAAAACTGCTTTGTGAAACATTTAGTTAGATTGCATTAATTTTAAGCAGAATGAAACCTCAGTTCACAAATTTAATTTGTTCCTGAAGTCCTTTTGTCATCTAAATTTTTCAGGAATAAAAATTATTTTTCCTCGTAGATATTCATGTGAAATGAATTCCTAGACTGTAGATCATCACTTATTTAAAATTTGTGAGAGTACATTGTGCATACTTTCATAGCAGAAGAATAATGAAAATCGTTAAATCTAAGACAGCAACAAGAAAAGAAGCAAACACGATATTAAGCAGCTAAAATAGATGCAAATTTAATTCTATTGGAAATTCCCTAAAGGTTATTTTTATTGACGGACCAGCTTCACTGCTTCGTTTTTTAATCATTTTATTAAGTAAAACATCATATGCAAATATTTACAGTGAAGCAAAATACAATTTAATTGTGAGCTTTGGTTACAAGTAATTGCTCACATCAGGACCAGCTGGATTTCTTTTTCTTAACTCTACTGCCTCAATCATAGGAGGAGATTATTTGGCGAGATTCGTTGGCGTAAAAATGCGCCAACATCCCACCTGGCCTGGCCTTGCCATGTTCACATGCAAGAACTTGAAAGTTTAATTATGATATACTAACATTAAAGTTTTGGTTATTCGTGTAAACAAGTATACAATATGTACAGAAAAATATTAATAAGTAAACAAAAAATCGAAACTTGTACACAAGAATACAAAATTATTGAAAAAATAAATTTAAATATATAATTAATAATAATAACTGATTTACATAATATACAATTTACTAAATTTCAATAGGCAATACAGCTACAGGTAGCCCTCCTACAACACGCCATCCAATAGCACGGTTTCGCTATAGCACGATTCATAAACTGTGACAACCCTCCTACAACACGGTTTCTCTCTAACACGATAAAAAAATTGCCCAAGCAATTCGAAGAAATTTAATGAACTTCGCAGGAAGAGCAAAGCACCCATATAGTCATTTAACACATAAGAATCCTGGTTTCGTAAGTTCTGCCAGTTGTTTTCCAAGATCCGGTACCCATAGGAACAGATATTCTCAAGGAGACGAGCCATTGGTGGAGGGCGACCGTTGAATTCTTAACTGGTAACAGAGGAAAATCGCTTCCATCCATACCTTCAAAGCACATTTGCACAACAGAAACAGTACCCATTCTCAAGAGAGCACGGTCACTAGATAACAATGAAGAAACCTCACTATCGCAGAAGGTGAACAACTTGGGGTCACAGTAAGTGCTTTAAAACGTACAACCTTCACGTTCAGCTTCCGAAATTCGAATCTTCATCTCCTTGGCTTAAAAGCAAAAGTGTCTCACGTTGTTGGTCGGCAGCCTGCGTCTTGCCAAGGTGTGTTAACCCTTTGACGCGTGCGATATTATTTTTATAATTTTTTTAACTAAAAGCTCTAGAAATTGAATATTATGATCCTAGAGACAAATAATATATAAATTTTAAAAAATCTACTCTTGCCCATTGTTTTGTGGGTGGTGGTCGCACTGTGAA